GTGGTTTTAATTAATGAATGACACATTTATTTATTTAATTCCACATTTAATTAATTATTGACACATTTAATTATTTATTTAATGCTGTATTTATTCATTTAATTTTGGCACTTTTTATCCTCCATAAAGTCTAAGCCAGAATTGTAGAAGAATTTTCCTTTAATACGGTAGTGCAGTAACCAGTATAAGGTTTACATTTTATCCTGCATTAATTTTACTTTTACACCTAAAGTAGTTTTAAGGCACTTTTACTTGAGTAATAAAGATTACGTTGATACTTTAGCTTCTCTAAAGTGTTGTTAAACAGTAGGATTTATACTTTTACTTGAGTAATAAAGATTAATACTTTTGACACCTCTGTGCATAGCCACATATTCATCCATAGTCTAGATCCCTGCAAACTTTTTGGTACCGCTGGTAGAGATCAATCGATAGTTTTTTCCAAGACTGATGCCAATACTGGTTATTTTACATTTGTCTAACAGATCTCCAAAATGTCTCGCTGAATTTGAGGGTCAGTTCTTCAGTCTCTTTTGCCTTTTCTCCCTCCATTTACATCATAAAAGTGGAACAAAGATAGTAAATGTAACACACTTTTTAAATTTGAAGCAAAAAGAAAAAAATATACAAAATCAGACTAAACATTAACAATGGATAGTAAATAGAAGCCATGAATATCTAAAGTGCATTAATAAATAAAAATATATCTGTTTCAAAACCACGTTTTCTAAAAGTTAGTCAGTTTTATGGTCAGATTCTGGATTATCTGCCAGTGTATTATTGGAGCTTGCTTCGCCTAGCGGGTGCTGCTCGGGCTCATCAACTCGCATGGCCTTTCCTTTTTTTCTATCGAACTCGGCAGTAATCTGTGCCAGAGTCTTACCTTTAGTTTCCGGCATTGTTAGACCTAAAACGACAGCAGAGACCAAACAGACAACCAGGAAGGGTAGAAAGCAGTAGTTTCCTAATCCATTCACAATGAAGGGGAGCAACATTCCCATCAAAAACAGGCTGAGCCACATAAGCGAGCCAGCGACCATGTAGGCAGCTGGCCGGGACGTCTGGTCAAAAATCTCGGCTGGTAAGATCCCTGTGACCCCCGCAGGGCCTAAGCCAAAGCTGAGGATGTAGGCAAACACACATGCCATGCTAAGGTACTGCATACCTGCAACCCCTTGGCTCTGAAGCGTAAGCGCAACAGTGAAGACAACAATCCAACAAACCATTAGACTGTACCCTCCGATGAGAAGGAATCTGCGGCCCACCCGCTCAATCAGAAGATTACTAAGGATGGAAGCGATGAACTCAGATGCACCTGTTCCGATGGTGATATACTGAATTTTTTCTGGTGGGATCCCTGCTTCCAGAAAAATGTAGGATGCATAGAAGTAGATAGAATCGTTGCCACAGAGCATCATGGCAGAGCTGGCAGTCATAACTATCCCAAGTTGAGCGCGCAGGTCCCGATCTTTGAACAGGGACCATGGCGTCTTGGCAGGAGCTGACAAACCAGACTTTAAAGCTGCAGACATTTGCTGTTCCTGAAGCATCTCCTCCATCTCCAGGACGGGAACCTTTCCTCCACGCAGTCTTCCAAGAGCTCGGACACAAGCTTCCTTGTCTCCACGGTCGATGAGAAGATATCTTGGGCTTTCTGGAAACCAAGGCAGAGTCGCAAGCTGAATGAATGCTGGCAAAGCATTACTGACCAGTAAGTAGGGCCACAGAGGCTCTGAACCCAGCAGCTCAGTAAGTCCCACCACCTGTCCCATGAAGATCCCAAATGCGGTAAAAACAGCCGAAGAAAACGCCACGGCGCCTCTCAGGTGTATTGGAGCACTTTCTCCAAAGTACATGGGCTGGATGTTCATACTCACTCCACAATTAATTCCAACCAGGAAACGAGCGAGGATGATCATCTCAAAGGATCGTGCTACCTTACATGTCAGCACAAAAACAGCACCAACCAACAGGAAGGAGTTGTTCAAAAGCAGAGATAGCTTCCTTCCAAAGCGGACTGCCATTGGCCCCGCTAATAAGGCCCCCAGCAAACCGCCTAAGGAGAATGCTGACACAATAAGGGTCCATACCAGGGTCACCTGAGGGATATCCAAGGGTGTTTCCCAGCGGTCCATGTATGTGTCATTGATGAAGCTCTGGATGTAGCTGGTAGGAGCATTGATGATTGAGATGTTGTAGCCGTACTGGAAGGTTCCTCCAATGGCAGCAGAGCACACTGTTAAGGCAAGAGTCCTGGTACTGCCTGCAGGTCTGCTTCCTTCTTCTGCCTCATTACCTGAAGAACTCATCTGAAAGCTGGTCGTCTAAGTGTCCTGCTAATTTATACTTGGAGTCATGTATTCTTTTGTTCCCTGAAACAGAGTATTTAAACCATCTCTGGACTGTGCTGCTAAGCTTTAACCTTAACCTTGTTCTGCTGATTCAAAGATAGTGGAAAACCATTTCTCTTCGGCAAGAAGCCGGTTTCGAGTGCTTTAAGATTTTTAATCCCTGAGCTTCGACTGTCAGGTAGGTTCCAGCCCGCCAGTTGAAAAGATTTTGTGTCAGTGAGGCATATCAAAAGAATTCTACTATAATTATCGATATGTTTATGTTATTATTTAAAACGAGGAGAAGGAAAAATAATCACAAAAATGAAGCACTGAGGGGGAAATATGATTACATAAATTAACTCGCTTCAAAGGCTGCCTGACAGTCAAAATGTAGGAAAAAATAAACACATGGTCCCACGCTTCTTCCTGTTGCGTAGTATGCGTACAGGCAGATGATTGGTTTATTTTTTTGTGATTATTTTATTAAAGCATCTTACCAACAGAGGTTACAAAACTGGAGTAATTCTATACGTAAGAATAATTGGAGAGAAATTGAAAGTGCAAAAGCATAAAAATGGTAGCAATAAAACGACCTAAGGATCCTAAAATTAAAAAAATAAAAAAAATAAATAAATAAACTGTCATATGTGTACACACTGTATCTGGGTCATTCCATGAAAACTGTTAAGTTTGGGTCCATAACATTCAAAGATGAATAAATTAAACTGTCAGTAATAGTTTAAGTGTCTGAAGCCATTGATTCAAGTTTAGTTGCTAGTATGAGGTAAAATAAAATTGAATAATAAATGTATATTTTGCACATTTATAACTTTTTTGTGTTAAACTGCAATAATTTCTGATGTCCACTCTGACCATTTTTCTCATTCATGTAATGTAAAACGTAAGAAATACCAAATAAGTCTCAAACATTTTTTGTTGTTATGGTTAGAAATACTTTCCTCTTAATAGGAAAGGTGTTGATCCTAATGCTGATCCTTTAGGTTAGGGTGAAACCTTCATGGGGTAAGGTTCCTCCATGGAGGCTGCCATGTTAATACAGAGGCTGTTTGCTATATGCTTGAAAATTGAGGGGTGAAGGGAGGAATATCTACCTTCAGACTCCACTTTAGATGTCACATAATCCTATGCACTGGCCCTTTAAAAAAGAGCAATACAGTAATTACATATATCTTCTTTCTAATTCTAATTGTTCCTTTTATTCTTACAGACAACAAGAAGCAGGGAAGAGAATGGCCAGAAAAAACAAACACAGACTACATAAAGAAATTGAGAGGCGACAAAAACAGCTGAAAAAGCAAAGAAAATGAGCAGACAAATACAGTAAAACATTTAAGCGTGCAACTCAGAGCACCCCTCCTCAGTCTAAAGTGACCATTTTAACCAGAACAGGCAGAGTAAACCCCATTAAAAAAATATTCTTCCATGTAGCCTTGATTGCAGACATCAAAAATACCAAAACAGAAGAAGAAACAAATCATATCAAAAATTACAGCTGGAAAATGATCAGAAAGCACAGGCTACAGGGCTTTGCAGAGAAAAAACTTGGATTCTCACAGAGGCACCGCATGATTCCAGAGAACAGAAACTTTTTTGAAACATGAAGAGGCCCTGCAAACACCTTTGCAACAACATTGAAATCTAAGGTCAAAGACCTCTTCACATGGAATGATGTGAGTTGGGTAACGACAGAGGAGAAACAGACACTCACCGGGAATAAAGTGAAGAAGCAGAAATGATTTCTGGTTGAATCAATAAAAAAAGAACATTTATCCTGCTCCCTAAAATAAGCTGTGAATTATTTATTTTTTCTTGAGGAGCTGTTCTTAAATAAAACATTGGTTATTTCTGTCGGTGTCTGTCATTAATTGTGGCCTGAATAATATCTACCAAATTTGAGCAACTATGAAATTGAAATTGTGCAGTTCTTAGATTTGTCCATTCCACTCTGTCACACTATATTCCACCCTGTCACAGAGTGATTTTTTGATTTTTTCAAAGACAAAAGGTAATTTAGTGGTCAAAGCAATTATACACATAGTTTATATTTGCAATAATGTACATGGTATGTAAGTTTCATTGCTGATTCTGAAGTCAGACTGTACATTTTAGCAAAGTAAGTATGATCTCTTGCATATTACATTATTTATTAATGCTGTACATAAAAAAATATAAAAAAACAC